AAAAATGCTGCTCTCGCCTTAGCGCCGCACTCAGGTGTTTCACAAGCTCGCAACAACTTCACAGCTGGATAACGGTTACTCTTCAAAACGTGGCTCTGGCCTCCGAGCCGCGCGCCGTCTTACAAGCTCGCGGTGCGGAAGTTCCAGGAACGGCGTTCTGGTACGAGTCAGCGCTGTGTGGACGCAAAAGTCGCGCTGCTTCGTGACGATGGCATCCCATGAATGGCGTTTCGGCAAGATCTGTAAATTCCCAAATGTATTGGAAAGTGAGGAGTGCCCGAATCCCATGAAGTTTAAACAGCAGCGCTGCTGGTTGATTGGTGTGGGAATCAGTCGGAGCTCAAGTCTCTCATGTGTCCAATAATTGCGACGGTTGCCTTTCAATGGGCCACTTCCTGCAGTAAGGATAACTTCTTGTAGGGACCTGCAAAGAAGGAACCTGTAGAGGGGACCATTGAAACATTATTGGTGTGTCTTGGGTGTACACTGGTCCTCCTCCTCCTCCTCCTCCTCTCTTCCCCCTTCTCCTCCTCCTCCTTCTCCTCCTTCTCCTCATGCTCCTCCTCCTCCTCCTCCACCTCCTCCTCCTCCTCCTCCTGCTCCTCATCCTGCCTCTCCTCCTGCTTCTCCTCCTCCTCCTCCTCCTCCTCCTCCTCCTCCTTCTCCTGCCCTTCCGCATGCCCGCCCGAGAAGGCCCGTGCCGAAGGCAGGCCGCCTGAAGGTCCCACGAACGCGGGCCTCAGTGTTTCGTCGCGGCTCTCGCGAGGATTGCCGCCTGAGAGCGGAAAAAAATGTCCCAACTGACTGTGCGGATGAGGGTCCCTGCTTGACAAGGCGTGCCCATCGGATCATGGTCAAAGGTTCTACTGCCCTTCCTCGGGAAGAGGATGGTGGCTGGAACAAAGGCGGGAAGTAGGGTGGGGAAGAGGGCGGGAAGGGGGAGGGGACGCTAGACCCGGGGAGACGCCGTGGGGAGAGCGGGGGGCGCAATCGGACGAGGGAAGGGGGAGGGGAGAGGAGGCGATGGGATTGAAAGGGACTGAGGGGAGAGGACGGGAGAGGTGGTGGATGGGAAGGGGAAGGTTTGTTTGGAGAAATAAGAGGATGGATGGGAAGGGAAGGCAAGGAGACGGAAATGGAAAAGGAGAGGGAACTAGGGGAGGAGCGGGAGGAGAGCGGAGTGCCATTGCGTACCAGGGGAGGGGAGGGGGAGGGGCGAGAGAGGCGAGTGAGGGCAGGGAGAATGGATCCTCCTCCTCCTCCTCCTCCTCCTCCTCCTCCTCCTCCTGCTTCCCCTCCTCCTAGTGAGATTGAGGAGGCAAGTGGTATGTTCGTAACGAGAAGCCTGGGGGCCCCACCTACGGCAATGCGGCTGAGTCTCCCGCGGGAGCATTCAATGACAACGGGACCCGCTGCTTTCCAGCAGCGACGGTACTACGTTTCTTCGAGCCAGCCGATCCCACACGACATCGAGGCGCTTGAGACCTCCATTGGCGAACGGTGAGCCCAGTTGGAAAACCCAGGTGGTCAGACCGCTCCCCCCCTCCCCCGAACCCAAAGCGCAAGTGCTGAATTGCGGCCCCATGCCGGTTCCCTTGGTGCAGATGATTGCCAAGTGGAGCCCAGGCGACGTGGCTGGTTCGGAGCTCCCTGCAAGGCCGAAACGTTCCAGAGGCAGGCCATGCACAACTTGGGACCGCTTCTAAATCACACGTTCCCATACCGAGTCCAACATTGGACCGGGCCTAGTGCTCGATTGGGGATTGTGTGTGTCGGTTCCCTTGCAAACCTCTTCTTATCACAAGCCATGGCTCTCACGTGTAACGTCTGGCCGAATGCCTGACATGCCTTCAATCTTGCGAGCGACCATCACATCGAGATCAGCGATGCACGCCCCGAGTTTTGGCTCGCGGAGCGTTTTGCGCTGCCGCCGTGCATCACTTTCATAGATCAACTGCCACACTCGCGGAGGCCGATTGCAGTGGAGAAAGCATGCGTTGTGGGCCTCCCAAATGCGCCGCTGAGGCCCCTGGTTAAATTGTCCATGCTGGCGGAGGTGGGTGGGGGAAGAGGGGACAGGAAGAGGGGGAGGGGGCCAGCTGGGGAAGGGGGAGACAGGGAAAGGGGAAAGATAAAGAGGGAGGGCGATGGGGACGGAGACGGGGAAAGAGGAGGGGGAAAGGCAGTGGGAGGGGGATGGAGGGGGGACGAGGAAGACGGAGGGTGGAGCTGGACCGCACCACAAGGAACTCCGCGCCCGCGCCGAGAGCTGTACCACCACTACGTCCTGTCCTGGTGCACGAAAAAGCGCAGTAATCAACATGTGCCATGTGGCATCGAGACCTTAGCTGGCAACGCTCAACTCGTGGCCTGCACTGGAGGATCGATATGACGCAAAGGCGTGAACTTCACGCCGCGAAAGGCGCGAGTCGCAAGGCCCTCTGGCGCCCTGTCCCTATCCACGCGCCTCCGCACGGAGCCCGCTGCTGGAGCAGCCCATGGCCCGCTGCCAGGCGCCCGCGTCGGCGAGATGCCCTCCGGGCACGCATGCAGCCTGGGGTGCTCAGGGCAGGGGAGGGAACAGGGAGAAGGAGGAGAAAGGGAACTCACATGGAGCATCGGCGTCACGGCACGGGATGGAAAGCCATGGGAGGGCACCGAAAGCGGCACGGTGGCAGTTTACGCGCCTCCTGCCGGGTAAGCCTCGGCCTTGTGGCGATCCTAAGTCGGAACCCCAACCCACCCCCAGCGCGCCGATTCCTCTCGGGAGCCCTGCACTCCACCGCACGCGCACGCGTCCGCCAAGGATCCCATCCGGGGTGGGTCGAGGAAGTCTGTGGACGGATGTTCTCCTGGGGGAGATACCCCGCGGGGCGCTCGGAAAAGGTCCGCTCGGGCGACAGCATTACAGAGGGGGGGGATCAGAGCCCCGACTGAGGAGAAGCTCGACATATGAATCTGGTTCGACCAAGCGCCTGGCGCACAGGCCCGCACAGAATCTGCTGCGGGACGCGTGACCAGTACTGGGCATCCAGTGCGGCAGCGAGTTCTTTCCACTGATAGCGCAGAAACCCACGCACGCACGCGTACAGGTTGTGGTCACTATCCCACTGTGAGTGAGACCACGAGCTGGTGCAACACTGATGGGCGAACCAACGACTGAGCAGTGTCAAAGAAGCGGAAGGTATACTAATCTAGCCGAAATTGCTTCGTGGTGACCTGCGTTTCCAGCCTCGACGCCCTACTGATTGACAACCTGCTACCTAGCAGCGGGCGAACCTGCCCACGACACACTTGCACTCACTCGCTCGCCGAGGCCCTGCATTTGGTGACGCAACTTGCGGTGATGGCCGGGATTTGCAAGTATGGGATATCAACTTCAACTGTCCCACCCCCAGTAAGCCCTCTGTGTGGGGAACCAACACACTGTTTCTCCCCAGCCGTCTGTCACACACCACCGTCCCGCTCATATGAGTCCCAGGTGCTGAATGGAACTCGCATGCATCGGCCTTCTCTCTCTCTCTGTCTCTCTGTCTCCCTCTCTCTCTCTCTTTCTCCCTAACTCTCTGTCTCTGTTTATCTCTCTAATTGTCTCTGTCTCTCTCTCTCTCTCTCCCTCGCTCTCTCTCTCTCTCTCTGTTCCGCTCCCTCGCGCTCCCCCCCACCTATTGCTTCAAATGGCTTGGCCTCACGTGGCTCCTCTAGAGTTTGGCCTCAATGGTTTGGCATCATATGGGCCGCTATGGTTTCCCGCCCCACCGGCCTCGTGTGTCGCACTTTTCCACGGTAGCTGCCTGGAAACCCGTGGATTGGCCTCCTATGAGGCCCCACGGTTTCCCGTTGCACTGGCCCTATGTGATGCACATGTATGCGGTAGTTGTGGGCCTCCTATGGCTCGGCCAAGCAAGCATTGAATATGGATTAGATTCCGTACGCTTGGGGTCGACACGCACATACCTACCTACCGACCTACCTATCTACCAACCAACCTACAGACCTGCCGACCTACATACATACATACACACACATACAGACATTCATTCATTCATCAATTTATTCACCCAAGTGCATGTATATGGCGGCCGCAGCCTCGCTGTTGCATGCGGCCAGGGTCCGCCGACATGCTGCAGCACATATGCCGCCGTCATTCGGGCGCAAGGTGGGCTTCCCTCAAGGGAAAGATATGGATGCCGCTAATCCACGGCCGAGAACCGCTGCGCGGGCTCACTGACGGTTTGCGTCGGCGCGCGCGGTGCGGCGGTGGCAGGCAGCCAAGCGCCAGGTGGTGGAGGGCGGGAAAGCAACGCGAGCCCCACAGCCAAGGGCGGCAAGCCGCGGTGCTGCTCGTGTGGGGTGCGCGACTAACTTCGCGCTGGCACGGCACCTGCAGAGGCCGTGGGCAGGCCACGCCGCGTGCCCCACGGCACTGCTGCGGCGCTTTCGCTCCGGCCGGGGGGAAGAGCGGGAAAGAGAGCACTGATATATATATATATATATATATATATATATATATAGAGAGAGAGAGAGAGAACAAAAAAAGAGAGAGAGAGAGAAAAAAAAAAAAAGGGCGCCGCCTCAGCAGAGCTGTCACGTCCACGGGGATGGGCACGCAGCGCCGTAGCACTCGCATAGGGGATGTCGAAGAACCCGCGTTCAAGTGCAAGCCACTGTTGGCAGAGAACAGACCTAGAAACCAACGGACGTGCCTTGCATCAAGCCGTTGTGATTGCAAATACCTGCGTGCGTCGTCACCCCACCTCCTGCGAGGGCGATTCGGCAGCCTGCCTTTTGCTTGTCAGTCCTTGCTGGCGTCCCGCATAGTAGCTCGCAACGATCACTTCCCAGGAGAAGACGGCGTAACCCAGCGAGCGAGCATCCACACACGGCGTCGCCAGAGCAGCCATCAATCGTCGATGTTGTAAGAATCTGCGCGTGAATGGATCGGTCTCGTTGTCCTGATAACCCATCCAAGCCAAGATTCAACTACCACTTGCTCTTGGTCGCTAGTGCTAGGAATAGTCGCAGAAAAATTCGCCGACTCGGGGTCCGCCTGCGTTTCTACCAGCTGTCTGCCAGAGGCCAAAGTCACGTGTAGCGTCCTACGCAGGGTCGTTCGCAATCTGTGTCGCAAACCAGCCGTCACCGTCCAACTGGAGGCGCCGCACATCATCACAGGGGTCACAACGCTGTCGAAAAGGCGAAGGTGGCTTGCCAGGGTGTAGCGATTGCACGTTAAATCGGATTTGCACGCCATGAAAGCGTTCCAGGATTGATGAGTCTGGTGATCGATCTCGTCCTCTGCGCGGGCTCTGCCCGCCAGCAATCGACCCAATGTTTGGCTCCTTCTTCAGAACTCGAAATGTCAATGCACATGTCATTGATTGAGGCTGCCGTCCGGGCTTGATGGGAAACGCAACTGTGGCTCATTGAATGCGGTTATTTGAAGAAAATTGCGTTTCCCATAATTCAGAATTCGAATTCCCAGAATACCGAATTATGGGAAACGCAATTTCCCTTGAACATCCGCACTCAATGGGCCAGAATTGCGCTTCCCACAATTCAGAATTACGGGAAACGCAATTCTGGCTCATTGAGTGCGGTCTGTTGAAGAAAATTCCGTTTCCCATAATTCAGAATTCGAATTCTCGGAATTCGGAAATATGGGAAACGCAATTTCCATTGAAAAACCGCACCCAAATTGGCCAGAATTGCGTTTCCCATAATTCCGGATTATGGGAAACGCAAGTGTGGCTCATTAGGTGCGGTTGTTTGAAGGAAATTGCGTTTCCCATTATTCGGAATGCCGAGAATTCGAATTCTGAATTATGGGGACGGAACTTCCCCAAAAAAACTCACCCAATGAGCCACACTTGCGTTTCCCACAATCCGGAACTATGGGAAACGCAAGTCTAGCCACTGGGGTGCGGTTTTTCAAAGGAAATTGCGCTTCCCATACGTCCAAATTCCGAGAATTCGATTTTTGAATTATGGGAAACGCAATTTTCATATACATACATACATATATATATATATATATATATATATATGTATGTATGTATGTATGCATGTATGGATGTATGTATAACGCACTCAATGAGCCACAACTGCGTTTCCCATAATTCGGAATTGTGGGAAACGCAATTCTTGCCCATTGAGTGCGGCTTGTCAAGGGAAATTGCGTTTCCCATAACTCAGAATTCCGAGAATTCGAATTCTGAATTATGGGAAACGCAATCTTCATCAAAAAACAACACTCAATGGGCCACAATTGCGTTTCCCATAATTCGGAATTATGGGAAACGCAGTTCTGGCCCATTGAATCTGGTTGTTCTAAAGACATTGCGTTTCCCTGAATTCGGAATTCCGAGAATTCGAATTTCAAGTAAGGGAAACGCAGTTTTCTTCGAAAACCCGCATCCAATGGGCCAGAATTGCGTTGTCCACAATTCCGAATTATGGGAACCGCAGCCTGGCCAACCGAGTGCGGTTTTCAAAAGGAGCTGCGTTTCACCTCATTCTCGGAAGTCCGAGAATTCGAATTCTGAATTATGGGAAACGCAATTTTCTCTACAAACGCACTCAATGAGCCACAATTGCGTTCCCCAGAATCCGGAATTATGGGAAACGCAAGGCTGGCCCATTGAGTGCGGTATTTCAACACATGCCGTTTCCCGGAATTCGGAATTCCGAGAATCCGAATTCTGAATTACGGGAAGCACAATTTTCCTCAAACATCCGCACTCAATGAGCCACACTTGCGTTTCCCATAATTCGGAATTATGGGAAACACAAGTCTGGCCCAATGATTGATGTTTCAAGGTTCAGACTTCCGAGAATTCGATGTTTGAATTATGGGAAACGCAATTCTCCTCAAAAAAGCACACTCAATGGGCCACACTTGCTTTCCCCATAATTCGGAATTATGGGAAACTCAATTCTGGCCCATTGAGTGCGGATGTTCAAGGGAAGTTGCGTTTCCCATAATTCGGAACTCCGAGAATTCGAATTCTGAATTATTCCTCAAAAAGCGGCACTCAATGGGCCACAATGGCGTTTCAATGGACCAGAACTGCGTCTCCAATAATTCGGAATTATGGGAAACGCAATTCTGGCCCATTGAGTGCAATGTTTCAAAAGAAATTGCGTTTCCCATAATTCGGAAGTCGACTTACGGAAAAATCGCGTTTCCCGTGCAATGTGTGCTTGGGGCAGTGACACCTGCGTCCTTATCCATCCCACGCCCAAATGTTTCCGCCGCAGTCGTGAAACAAGCTTTGCCCGGATGTAGCTGAAGGCCCACTGCGCCAGCTTGGTCGTGTACAACAGCGAACAGCCTTCGGATCTGATGTAGCGCACTGCTAGCCAAAATACCATCGTCAGCGAAACATCAGCTATAAAATTCGCCACTCGCGCATGCAACCCGATTATTTACCATAGCGTTTTCTCTGCCAGCCCACTTTCAAATGTCTCATGATATCTCCCAACAACAAATTGAAGATT